GTTTCCTTCAGAAGGAATAACCTGATAATAACTCCATTCGCACTCACCGTACTGTATGGCTTCTTTTTACTTCCAATTACCTGTTTATGTAATATATTGTAAGCAAAGTATTGCATCGTGAACATTTTTGAATCTCAGTTTTCTCCAGGCCTTACTTTCCCCTCTCTTCTCAATGTCGTCCTTTAAAAAAATCAGTAGCCTATCTTCATAAGCCTTATTCCACGCCCCAGCTTCAGAACCATACGCGAAGATATGCCGAACAAGGATTTAGTGAAGCCTAACGTTGATCTCGTTCGTAATAAATAAACTTTTAAATTAATTACTTGGTGAGGCTTGAAATGAGAAAAATATACCGATAAATTAATAACTAAATGCATAGAAAGAAGGTTCGATGCCGATACCATTCCTGCATCCTGCGATACTCAACCTTCGACAAAACCCAATTCCAGCAAGGCTTGAAAATATAGTAAAATTCTCATAGTCCAGAACTAATTAAAAAAAAGTGAAAGTAATTATAAATGTTGTGACCCAAAACAAAAAACATATTCACATACTTATTACTTAAGAAACACCCAAAAAATATGAATCTACTACAAATTAATAGTAATTAATCGTAATTCGTATGAAGAAACCTTGTTTAACTTAATAACCTATATTACACTATTTACATCATTTCAAACAATTATTATTAGTCCGTGGTACACACCCATTTTTACCGAATTATTATTGAGCCGTTTGGCGTGACCTATAGCCCCAAATTTTCAAAATGGCGAGGTTATATAGGACAAAAGGCACTGTATTTTTAAAGGCCACCCTTTTTATCGATTTTGTGATCAAATTACCTTACGATCTAACTAGAAAACAAATGGGTATTTACGAGTTTTTAGTACCTAATTAAATAGACTAAGTTTGCCCCCCTCCAGATTCCAAGAGTTTTTTTTGTAAACACAATATTCGTAGGTTATGATAAGATGAAAATATTTACGAAATTTCAGGCGGTGTTAATAATTCGAAAAAAGTGGTCTGTAACGCGGACTATATAGAATGATATTGTACTCGTACTCGTACTCGGGAAGCTTTATTAAACTTATATAAAGTATACTTCCTGGTTTGTCCTGTGGTCCTGCCTTCAATATTTTACGACTGTATCGACTTAGTTGCACCGATATCGATTCAATATTCTTAATTGAACATGCCGACTATGTAACGCTTTTAAGAGGAAAGATACGGCGGCTGTTTCCCTACGCTAAAGAAAACAAAGTAATAAAAGCCATAACTAACTAGCTTGACCCCTTTCAGTGCACAAACGATAGGACACTAATACCACAATTTATAGCTAAAAAAAGCAGTTCTTTGTTTTCAGATAAATTCTCAAGACCTGAAGTAGACGTCATAAACTCTCAAGGATTTTAAGATACACTAAGGAATCTTTTTTATTATGTCTCAGGGATAGGTTTATCAGGTCTTTTACAATAAATACACATTATTATTATTTCATTTAAACAAATAATAGGAATAAGTAACCAATATCGACAATATTAAGAGTTCTTTAGAATTATAATTATATGTTACATCCTGAGATAAGTTTTATATCTCTCGATAATATAAAAAAGTTTTTAGTGACCAATATTTTCTTTTACATATAAGCACTGCTACCGTGCGGGTTTCCGGATACTGCGCCCTAATCCCAGATAAGATTTTTTTTAACTGTTCGGGGTGTATGTTTTCAACTATTCTCTTCTTTACTAATTTTTGTCTTTCATACATCTTTTTTATTTGTATTATTTGTGAAATAAGGGTTGGTTCTAGTTTATTATATCAATGTTTTATTTTCGTGATAAATAAGAATTGTAACTAATGGAAACTTCTTAATAAATATTCTAAAGATTTCTTTAAAACTTTTTTTTTTGTATTTATTTTATTTTATGCAATTTGCACCTGCGCATCTAGCAAATTTGTTGTATTTTTATTGTCTTGGTGTAATTGCTTGATTTTTTTTATTGATGTAGTAGGTCTCTTGGCCATTTTCTTCTTAATCTTCGTTGCTCAGGTAACAGGGAGCAGGAGATAGAAAGAACCAGAGGATTGGAGTGATTTTGGGTTGAACAATGAAATGTAGTGTATTTGTCGTGGATGTAGGATTTTATTGTTGGGATGTTTAAGTCGTTATGTATAGTAGTGTTTGAAATGTACCAAGGTGCGTTAACAATTTTTCGTATAATTTTTGATTGTGCTGTTTGTATTTTGTTTATGTGTGTTTGTTTTGCTGTACCCCAAAGTTCTGCTCCATATGTCCATATTGGTCTCAGTAAGGTGTTGTACATAAGTCGCTTGTTTCGTAAGTTAAGTGAAGATCTGTAGTCCAGAAGATGTGAAAGTTGGCTATATCGTCTAGTAAGTTCTTGTCTTTTTAATTTCGTATGTATGTTCCAAGTAAGCCTTTTGTCTAAGTAGAGTCCAAGGTACCGTACATAGAATTACGGTACATGGAACTACATAGAATTATTATTTTTACATCCACACCTTTCCAATACATCATTGACAATCAGTGGCAAGATTAGTAACAAAATACCCAGCATTATGTATTCGATTGCATTATTTCCGACTCAAAATAGAATTTACAAGACAATTCTGAAACCTATTTGGACCTACGAAGCAGAACTGCAGGAACAGCAAAATATTCAAACATCAAACGCACCCAATCCTTTCAGTCCACAGTCCTTTCAACAAAAGTCCATGCTCCGTTCTATGTAACCAGCAGAACCTACCATGACCTTAATATCCCATTTTCCCTAGACCTTATTCCCCCAAAAAATCTCCAAGTTTTACCAGAACCTTACACACCATCCAAAAGACCTTCACATAATTTTTATCTATTTAGTTCAATTTTGTTTTGTTTATTTATATATATATTTATTTTTAGTATTATTATTTTGCTGTTGTCCCATTTATATTATTTCTATCTATTGCACATATAATGTGAATTAACTCCTGTATATGATATTAACTTGTCAACTTGAAAAAAAAAATGCACTTGCTACTTTATTTTATACTTTTCGGCTAACAAATCCCAGAATACAATGCACTGGGTATTAATTTGCGATCTATCTTTTGCTAGTATCACTGTAATCTTATTTTATCATTACAACGAGTTTATTTTGATACTATAGCAACTAGTATAAAAGATAATAAAGTATTAACTCCGAAGCATAGATGGTTAGGGCTAAAACGACATTTTATTTTACTAAATATAATAAAACAGTTTATGTATTTTCGAATAAAGCTTATCGTAATAGTATATTATTCGATTTAATAGAAATAGATATTTATTATCATTATATATATGTACATATTGTTATAAGTTAGTAAAAAAATAATCAAGAGACAGAATATAAATGTTAGGTTATTATTGGAAAACCCCGGAGAGGAGGTTCGCTAACGAACATCACATTTACAAAATATTCAAAATGGTAAAATTGCTCAATAAATAAATTTATTATTATTATTGGAAAAATTCCAAACCACGCAGCTTTATGTCTCCCAAATGCAAGCCAAGAAAAACCCGTCAACGTTTCGCCAATTCAGGTATCATCAGGACAACAATATAATATACAAAGTAACACAACAAAGTAATATATTAGTATAAAAAACTAAAATATGTTTTAGAATAGAATAGAAAATAACTTTATTCTGGGACAAAGTTCCTTTAGAATAACATAATAGAACATAATTAAAATACTACATCTGGCCGAAATAAAACAATAAAAAAGAGAAAGTAATATTAGTTATAATATTATAAAAAGAAAATATTAGTTAAACAAACTATATACAAAAAAAAACTATATACAAAACACTTAAAACTATGATAAAACACTTAAGACTATGTACAGTAGGAAAAATTATAATAATACTCTTTTGAAAAATAAAATAATAAAAAATAAATTGAGTTCTTCTTTAAAATGAGGTGTGTTTCTACTAACAAAGCTGACAATATAAAATATCAGTGTCTTTAAATAATGATTAATATGTAGACTCATCATTGTCAAATGCTAGAGGTACCGATTTAATTATATACCAATAAAAATAATAATAAATAAAAAAAAAAACAATAGATGCGGTCAGTGGCATGAAGAGCCGGAAGATATTGTAATATCCCTAGTGAAGTTCACAGTATAGAATTTTACGTATCTTAAAGGCAGCGTAATTGTTAGTATAAATGGATTGTATGTTATTTGACTGTGATAACGTTGTGTTTTTATTTCGAGATTATAAACACAAACAAATCAAAAATACGTTTGATGTTAAACATTATTGACAGAAGAAGTTCAAGAAATGTGCCTGTGTTATAGGGGCTGTTCAATTGTTGCATTCAGATATTTTCGAATACATCCTTCCGCATCCATGAAAAAGATCTCCAACTATATAAAATACATACAATTTTTTTCAAGTATTTAGAATTGCATTGTTCATTCCACAATAATTATTTAGATTTTAAAAATTTATAATTTTTCCACATAATATGAACTCCCACCATTTATTTTTATTTTTGGTCCATGGCCACCTTAAATCAAAACGAAAAGTCTGCCCCTAAAGTAACAATTAAATGAACCGTGTTACGTTACGGCGCAATAAAGGGAACGAACCACTAGTCAATGGATTTTCAAATTTGGTAGCATCAAAATAAACCTCCAGTTTCACTAAACTTCATTATTAATAGATTACCTACATTTGCCATTATGTTGTTATTGTTATTAATTTTATGTTAATATTGATAGGTTTTTAAAAAATATCATATAAATTTCGATGTAGTTTTAAGTGTTTCGACAAGTTAAAAAAAAAAAAATCCAGCCTTAAATTTTTTAAGACACGCGGGATTCCAAGTTGATGGTAGGATGTTACATCCTTCGAGGAAGACCAGAGGACAGGATATAATGAGGACAGAGGGACAGGACAGGACACTCCTTCTCCACTTATACATCCTGTCCTAATTACTGGCCCCGATGAAAGCCAGGCTTGAAACAGAATCATCAGTTCTGCTATCTGGTTACTTCGCTCCACTTAAAGAAATGCCTCACACGTGGAGCTGGGACACAATGATAGCTGTCATAAATGTTCATCAGCCATTATCATTAGAATGCCATTCACGAGCGAATCTTATCTCAACATCCGGCGATCCACCTCATAGGCGGGGTCGGAGAAAAATCGGGTATTATCGGCTCAACAAGGCGGGTTACGGATGTTCAGCGAGGCCAATCAATCTTTGGGAACGGAAATCACAAATTATGGTTATATGAAGAATTTCGCTTATTTACTCCTTTATAACTATCATCATGATCACAACAATATTTTATAAAAGAGGGAAATTGAAAAAGAAGATTAGACTCAAAGACCATGATATTGTGTAATCCAAAATTTTCGGAAATAATGTTGGCAAAACAATAAACCTGCAATAATGATATATATTTTCTTAGAACTCAAAAACGTTAATAGTATAGCGCTCATAAAAGCTGTCGACATAGTAAAAATGGGAGAGCTAGAGAATTTTTTTTTTTACTCATTATTATTGATTACTAACAGAAAAAATATTTCTTGTAATGAGAATAGCATAAGATAGTTGGAGAACGTGATGATCGAGTATGTTAAAGATTTACACGGTGTAAAATTATCGATTTTAGCGGCGAAGGTTCGAATACCGCCTGGAGATTTATTTTGAGACGGATCCACCGAATGGTCTCTACCATCCCACTCTGTTTAGAATAGGTTTGGATATACCTCTAAAACAACCCCCTGTATGTTAGAAATGGCGAGGGTAACAAAAACCAAAAAAAGTACTTCCTAAAAGTAGTTTTCTCGAAATATACCATATAAAAGGTTCGTACGACAAAGAAGGCAAAGAAAATTGGAAGCAATGTTTTTATAGATTTCAGCATAGTTCTACTACTACTGCCAAAGCCCAAAAGTTGACAATAGGCTGGGGAGAGATGTAAAAAAACAAAACACAGAACAAACAAGAAGGAGGTTCAAAAGCGCTAAGAAGAAGGTTATAAGAATTCAATGCAAGTCTTAGGCCAAGAAATAAAAGAAAAAAAATACATAACTCAAAATATAGCTCCTTTAGAAATCTTAATTTTTTTTGTTGTCTCTCACAAATATACTGTGCACAGATCATAAATTTCAATACATTTCTAATGTACTATTATTTAAAAATATTTGATATATACTAAAATAGACCCACTTGACTCTCTTTTGTTTAGGTTTTAAATAATATCTGTTTCTGATAAAGATACTGTATGATTTAGCAGAAGCTCAACACAGTTGAGCAGCCATGCAATATTATCCCAGTTCTCTTTCTGATGATGACAAAATAATATATTAATTATATTTCTCGAAGCATCGTATTTATAATAAAACAATATCTCATTAAACAATTTTTTTATGCATTGAACCGTGCGGAACAAACGGAACAGTAATATGCTGAACCTAACTAGCTAAGCAGCTCCTAATTACCACCAGTTTGGACGCTAAATATTACAGAGGAAGGGGAGGGGGAGTTTGGCTTGAATTAATTAAAGGTAAAATGGGCGGTTTAAGTTTTCATTAGTTGGTCAGGACATGGTCCTAGCCTCCATCTTCATCCTCTGGTACCATCAGGACCAAACTATCCTCTATCAAGTACTAAGTAGTAACAATATAATCCCTCCCTTTACAAGAATGTATTATTTTAAAATTGGAAACGTTTAATATAGAAAATAGTTTACCATAGTAATCTAGATTAAAATAAGTATCAAATTATTCCAAGAGACTATTTATTTATCGTCTCATTTCTTCATGCCCAGAAGAAGGCTTAACAATCGTACCGAAACTTTGTCCTTCATAAATATTTATTTCCACTATTTTTATTTAATCATGAATGATAACTTGACCTTCCACTCCTTAGAAACATTTCAAGGATATTGTATAGTTGAAAAAATAAATAACAAGAAGTAAGTTTCGTAAGACGAATATAATTGTATAATAATATGAACTTTTTTATTTTAATTTTTATTGTATAACCGCCTACCCATAATATGAACAGACCGCCGACCAGTTACAATGAAAACCATATAGAGAACATATGCGCTGACTTACGAGGATCAGAGAAGGGGGCGATCACCCAACCGTAAATAAAAATAGAGAGGGGTCGAGAATATCGTTTCGCCCTCCTCCTATATTTCAAAGAACAAAAATAAAATCCAAATCTATATGAATGAATAAAATATATAAAATAAAACCAATCATAAAGGAAGGAGATGGTCCGGGGTGGCGGTCATAAATAGGCTAAGCGTTGGCAAAACTATTTTATTTAAAAGCCAACGTTTCGACCCGACTTTGCAGGTCTTCTTCATTGAGGTGTGTTCAGCTAGGAGTTTGTCGACAGTTCTAAGTGAAACTCCTAGCTGAACACACCTCCATGAAGAAGACCTGCAAAGTCAGGTCGAAACGTTGGCTTTTAAATAGTTTTGCCTCTATTTAGCCTATTAATGACCACCACCCCGGACCATCTCCTTCCTTGAATATAATTTTTAATTCGTATAATGAACTCAGAAAACCCAACCAATATTTTAAAGTATTATTTAAAACTAATATGCAACGGTCAACTATTAAATATACAATAACATCAATTAAGTAAATAGGAATAATCGACTGAAATTTAGTTTATATTCAAAGATAATTATATGTAGCAACATATCCTAGGATTTTGTTATTCATTCATGTGCACTATTTTTACGGGAATATTTTTTCACATTTCCAGCGGTACATTTGTAGCATCGAAGAATGGAGAGTTCATCTCACTGCCTCAAATCTTAAAATAAAAATATTTAATATATTTAAATTTATTTGTTAACATATTATATATATATATATATAACCTCTTTTCTTTTTTATTTATTCATCAAATTTACAGCTGCATAATTTAAATACACATCTACTATACAGAGAAATACAATAACATGAAAATAATTGTAGAGAATCTACCCATTAGTAGCATTCTAATAAAGTATCTAAATTAGGAGATCACGAAGCTATCTTCTTTTCAGATGTCACGGGGGAATAAACCTATATATAAATTTATTTATATATATATATATATATATATATATATATATATATATATATATATATATATATTATTATAATGTTCGCAATACAATAATTATGTTGAATATCACACATAATTCGTATACATAATATAAACTCCCGATTTTTTTCTCGTGGTCCGTCGTCTCCCTCCCTCCAACCAGAATGGAAGTTTGAGCCTATTATAGAGAATAGGATAAACATAAATTAATGAACATGGCAATCTGTCATACCTGCTCACTGTTATGCACATGACATTGCTAGACCCTTAGTATATCGTTTCTCAACATTTTGGAAACTGATTTTGTTTCTGCCATGCTTTGATCATTATTAACAAAGTTATGGTTGAGAATGCAATGAATTCGACTGATTTTACATAACTAATACCTGTTTTTCAAAATAATAAAAAAAGCTATAAGTTACAAGTAACGGCTCTAAAAGATATTATCAAAAAAGTTACATTGACATTATATATTTGTCTTAGGCCTGCAAAAATAATTGAACCGAAAAAATAATGTAGAACAAAAATTATGAAGTTTTTTCGTTTCCTGAAAATTTTTAGTTTTTGTTCTTACAGGCTGTTGCAGTGTGGCTGTCGACATAAAGATATTCTGAACTATTTCTGATAAACTGTTATATATTCTGTTCTAGTTCTCTGTTCTATGACCAATACTGTTGACACTTCTCATTGACCTTTACGTTTTAATAATAACTTGTTTTTAGGCATTAATTTTGATCATAATTTTAAACAGAGGTCTTATGAAAAGTGATATCTTCTAACGGCGAGGCAACTATGGCCGCCCCACAAAGCTAAATAATTCGGCGCCCTAACTGTCAACACTAAAAATACAGAAACAAGATATATTCATGATGAGAATTTGTATTCATGAATTATAGTTTTAGTAAAATACAAGATAGTAGGCATTAGAAATTCCCATCTTGTTCTTGGCCTCCCCTGTTTCCAATGATTGCTTTTCTAGGAGAGTCTTCTTCCTCCTAGCTCATCCCAATATTGAAAGCGCTACATGTTGGGCATATTAGATTTTCAGCGCTCTTCCGGAGAACGTTTTGCATTTTGAAAGTTTCCTAAATTTTCATTCATAAAATAATGTCATTATTATCAATAATTAAGAAAAAAAAAAACCTTCCTACAAATTATATTTAATATTAAACTAATTTTCATAATTTATTTCGGGGTATGATAAAAAATATTTTTTTATTATTATTACTATTATATTACTTCTGTAGATCTTGATATTGATGTGGTATGTAGTTTATAATGTCAAATAATTTATAAGCTCGTATTAACGATCTAAAAAGTCTTATCATATTGATAAATATGATTTAATTCTGAAAGTATATTTTAGATCAATTTTACGTTTCGAGGTTATACCCACTGCGATCAATTATATATTTATTACTAAACTATTGCTGCTGTTTCCGCTGCAATATAATTAATATTGCCATGTATTAAATATTATTAAGAAACGATTGGATTAATTTGTTTATGATCCTGTCATTTTTAATATTTGTCAATTAATAACTATCTAAAATATTATACAATATAACAAGGACAAAAAGCCTAACAATATAATAATACAGACAAATATTTCTGATGATCGAGGTTATATAACACTGGAACGATAAATTTATTTAAAAGGGTGATCAAATAAATACTACTCAAACGAAGTCTATGTTAGCTTAGTCATTATATGATAAATAAAAAAATCCAGAAAATTAATATGGATGTATAATTTATTATTGAGGTATTTAGGAGAATTGTGCAAAGATTTTACATAAAATTTTTTGATTTTATTTCTGATTATAGGTACCAGATTTGAGATAAAGTTTTACATATATAATATTTATATCATTAAACAAGATATTTTAACCCTTTAGGGTAATGTACAAAACAAAACTATTTTTTGATGACGTAAGCAAAAATTCGTTGAGTGTACGATTAGCAAAGCGGCATCTCTATAAAACTAGAAGTTATTTCTCTAGAAACAGAAATTTGATTATAATAGTTAGAAATAAAGAGTGATATTAATTTCGGGGTATTGTCGCAAGCGCTCCGTTCCCAAGATGTAAGAATCACTCCTATTTTAGATTCCTAAATATTTTTTACTACTTTCCCTTATGGAAGCGCTTTTTCTAAATAAACATACATAATCAATAAATTATAGCTGAAAAGTTATAGAAGTTAGGATCCAAAGTTAGAAGCCAAAGAGAACAATTGAAAATGTAGAAATACTATCTATCGTATCTGCCACATCAGAGGAATAGATTATTTACCAGGCAAATCCAAGGGTTTCTCGGAACGTCAAAACCGTTCCTTAAATATTTTGTTCATTTTCTGAAAACTATGGAAATGTTATTTTTCTATCTTATCTTGGAACCACTGTTCCAGCAGATCGGAACAACCCAATCCCATGCGGCTGGAGTAAACATGATCCAAAATAAATTTACAGCAAAGGAAAGTTAGTCCACCGTTTATCCTACAGACAAATTAGAGGTACTTTTACCGAACCGAAACATGAAGATAAAAACTAAACATCACGATCGAAGCGGAATACAAATCGAATGTTTACCACGCCACGTTATGGTTCCAAATCGAGCAGCGTGAGCCCGTTTTAACTCATTCTAGATTAACTTCCAAGACTTTAATCTCCTTCAAAGACACGTTACAGCGTGGGTCTTAAGCGCAACTATCATATATCATGAATTAGTTATAACTAGACAAATAACATAAACATGTATAAACATTACAATTGAAGAGACGTTGGTTGAGAAGTCCAGTCAAAAATAAACAAATTAAAAATAAAGAAATAATATTTATTTTTAAGTGTGAATGTGCTCTCCGAACACTATTATAAATGTCCTTAATTGTGACAGATTGTAATATTTCTGAATAAATAAATTTTTCTTAAAATTACTCTTATTATCTTTGGTAATTATACAAGGTATATACTCCTAATTGACAATTTATTATAGGTTAACTTTTAATTTATTTTTAACAATAGCTAACTACATAAGAATAAGCTTTCAAAAGTTCGAGTCGAAAGTCTTCGTTAAAACTTTCCAATGAAAGTTTGATCATTCAATCTAATTTTAAATATAAATTTATCTTCGAGAAAACTTTTTATTACTCTCCTTAAAAATAAACGATAGATGAAATAATGACGATATAATTAATAAATATTGTATATCAATGATTGATAATATCTTTACAACATCTATATCTCAAACCCGTATATAATTTTAGCTGTGAAGATCGGTAAGGTTGTGACACGAGAGATTTTTTTTTTTTACTTTTAGATACCGAGAAAACGCACGAGGAAGACCGAAAGTTGATCCTTATCCACAAATATTTATGCCTTATTATAAGATATTAAATTGCTCTATAATACAATAGAACTGATTTTAGAAATTATTTTTTTGCTTCTAATTTTCTCCTATGAGATAACCATTGTACTTAGGGACAAAATGTTAGTATTTATACGCAGTCCAGTATACACATTACTACATAAAGCACCTTTTTTCTTTCTAATTGGTATACTAAGAAAATTGAGTATGATAAAATGAAAAAATGTCACAACCGTATCCGTTTTCCCCTGTTATTGGTATAAAATAATTTATTACTGTAAGAGGGCAATTGAACTAATAACATACAAAACAAAACTTCTGTATTGAATATTTAATAGTTGACCGTTGCATTATAAAAGAAGGAGATGGTCTGGGCACACCTAAACACACCTGTAAGTCTCTATTTTTATTCTTCTAATTTTTTTTTTCTCCACATTCTTTATGTCTATTATTTCATATTATATCCTTTTTCCTTTTCTTTCAATCTATCCTGTAGAAGTATATTCACATTTTTATATATTATATATTACACTATAACAATTGTTACCATCTATTTACTTCAGTTTAGGATCTTGTTATTCAGCTTACTCAGTTTATATTTTAATGCACTTAGTGTTTACAATTTTAATAAGCTTATTCACATTGTTTATATTTTTTGTCATGATATTATGTAACTTCTACAAGTCTCTATCTTTTTGTATCTTGTCCGTTATAGCCCTGAAGAAGACCTGCAAAGTTGGGGCGAAACGTCGGCTTTTGATAAAATATTTTAGCCACTATTCAGCCTATTTATGACCGCCACCCCGGACCATCTCCTTCCTTTAAAACTTCTGTAGCAATTAAGGTTGTAAAAATTACAATGAGATCCAGTGATGAATTGATATATCGTAAATTTCAGTACTCTACTTTATATTTTGCTTGATTAAGGAGAGCCATTTCGTCATTATTTGTTTCAAATTGTTTATGTTTTTTTTTTAAGTAATCAGTGGTTTTGAATTTTTTATTTTATTTTTTCCTCCGGAAACATATCTGTATAAACAAAGTAAGGGAACCATTCATAAACGGAGGATGAAATATGTACACCGAGGGAGGGACCAAAACAAAAATAGCGACAGAGGCAGAGCCAGGGCCGGATAAGCCCCTAATAAACAACACGATCCGTTTACTTATTCCTGGCCACAGCCACAGCGGCAGTAAGATAGTCGGCAAAACACAATCCGGAAGGCCCCAAGTTCCGGCGGGGGGAAACTCCACATTTCCCCGGCAGACGTCGATACTCTAAGACTGTAATTCCTCCGAATCGGTAAGCTGTTTATCCCGATGATGGAGGAGTCAGCTAGCGCACGACCTCCCTGGCATTTGGCGACATTTCTCTCTAAAGGTCTCCCGAACTCCTCCGAAGCTAATGTCATAGCTCCCCTGGGCCGTGCAGTGAGGGATTGGTAGGGAGGGAACAGGGAGTTGCCCGACGAAAGGAACATGCATATATGTAATATACAGGTTGAATATATGAGGTTGAAACTATCCATTTCTATAATCAAAAACAGCTAATGAAATATATAAAAAAAAATTATGTTTCTCAATCAGAATTTTATATTCAATCATTACAGGAAGATAGAATTTTGCTAAGAATTGACACTGATGTAAATAATATATTTTCTAGACATATTATTCAGGTTCGGTGCCATTTTCTTTATAAAATATTAGGCCAAAGGTCACCAAATGTACACAGTTTTTATATCCTGTATTATTTATTCGACGTTTCGGCTTCAGAAATATTAATAATATTAAAGTGAGACAATAAACAGCTCATCCCTAAACAATATTTCTACTTGAATATTTAAAATGAACAACCTTTAGTTTAAATTTTAATTTAAACTACTCTTAGCTGCAGAGGTAACTCCAAAGTTAAAAAAAAAAAAAACATCATTTGCGACTTAAGGCATTATTAGCCGCGAACACAAGTCCGATAAATAATACATTAGTAAATATCTCGGTCAAAATATAGAAGAAATATTTCTAAAATGGTCCGCCTAAATATCTCTGAGTTATGTTAGATCAACACATGCCTTAGAATAAGAACTAGAGGCCAACATAGACGAAGGTGGAATTATCTGTTCAAGAGGAAGGAAACAAAGGATCAGATTGTAAATTGGCAGCACATAGCTCTTGAACGACCTGGATGGAAGGGATTTATTGAGACTATTATACATCCTAGGATCTTTAAGTAAACGCTTTGAACTGTACTTCCCATATTACCGGAAAATCCTTCACCGATCTATATCCAAACATTAGCCAGCACCTAGTCTTAAGGCAACACTTGCATAGAGTATGGTGAAATGTAGCAAGGTTAAGGTGAGACATAAGAGGTAAATGAATTACTCCCATGTCTTCTTAAAGTATGCCAGCCAGCTTAAGGCGGTTTGTCCTTTATTTCGACAGAATAATTGCTAAGCATCTATCCTTCCCTTTCTTTCGTCGTTATATTTTTAAATTCCTCACAAATCGTTCTTTTGTCCACTCTTTGAATATGAGATCCTAATGACTCCTATTGTACACAACTTTATCCTTTAGTAAATCTCACATTATCAGTTCTAACTCTTTCTGGGATTCTTTAACAACTCTTAGGAGCTATCATTTCACCGAAATTTAAGTTATTTTAATTTTATTATTTAATAACTTTTTAGAATTAAATTACATTTATAAATTATTTTATCTAGTCCATTTTTATTATAGACAGCCTTTACGAAACGTTTATCGCTGCAGTTCCAAGGAATGGTTTGATGCTATTACCCTCCCCTAAAGCCTGGCATATTCAGCCGCGGTGTACGGTGTAAATCCTAACGCATTTTATTCCGGAAAATTTATGTTAAAATTGAATTTCCAGGCACCGCCATCGCTTAGACCGTTTCTTGCTCAGAGCGAATTTACAATTTCATATCCTCTCCTCTAGATGGCGTAATTTAAGGAGGGCCCTGGGTCGCCTCTTGATTAAATTGTCAGGAGATGGGAGAGCGGTTTGGGGTAATTCCCGTTGGCGTATGCCTCAGTAAACTTTCAACCACATCCCCCCCACCCCCTAGCTAGAGCCGGGGGAAATTCTTATCGGGAAACTCCATTAGATTTTCACAAACTTACACCGGATTAAAACTTAAAAGCGAACATGGCCCGATTATTAAACACCCCAAGACCTCTTAGGACCGATAACAGGAGAGGAGAGGTTATCCCGAAGCAGTCTAGTCATTTGGAACTAACATGCTTTGAATTAGCATGATAAGCCAATCTATTCGGATTGAAAGCAAAAATATCGAAATCAAAAAAAAAAAAAATAAAATTAGTAATAAGATTTTATTGATAGTAACATTTTTCTAATTCTACATTTCTATAATTTCTACGAGAAAAGAATTATTTCTCCCCAACAGGAGTACAAAGGGAAGGGTTGACAATACTTCAGGTTTTTTTTAAAGCCTTCTAATCGAAAGTCATATTCTATTTGACTATTTATTCCAACTAATTCTTTAGGACATGTTTTATAAAAACTGGACAAGCTATAAAAGCAACATCACACCCTAAGTGGAACTCAAGGCAGGTAGTACAGAAATCTACAACAGCTGGACTAGAATCTGTACATTTTTCGTTAAGAGGAGAAACGAACTAATTATAAGTGACATAGTTCTTTTCTACACATTATTTCTCACTCATATCGCGCCAACATGATATCTGACCTAAGGATGGGATAGAACTGGGAGAGATTCACGCTTTATGAATTTATATTCAGAATATCTTTTAAATCACCAGAACTTTAAATATAAGCGAAATTAAAATATTTGTATAGTAAATGTTGTGTGGATGGGAAAATTATCCCTTGCAAGGACAACATGGAAAATTAATAAAATAGAAACGATGAATTATAAACTTGAAAATTCTCAAAATGACCTCTTCATATAATTTTATTAATAATAACTTAGATAATGTTATTATTAATATTATATAAATTAAGCAATAATGTCAACATTGAATTAATAACAAAATTATATAATTAAATATATAAATATTAAATATATAAGTTTTATGATGTTATTGCGATGTTAAAAATGTTTATGAATTTTACTTCAAAAAGAAAAAAAATGGAAAAAAGTAGTATATCAGTTTATAGTGAATTCTGAAAAGTTGCGTTGTCTTTTTTCCTTCTCCAAATTATGACTCAATTAGAAATATCATATGTTATAATCATAGTTGTAACATATGATAGCGTTTTATGATAATATTAATTAAAGTAGTACAGCCATTATAAATTTATTATTGTTAAGTATATGACATTAAATATATAAATACTGTATTTTTTCCATCCAGGTTAATTCATAAGAACTGAATAAAATGCGTTCCGAGTCTGCTAAAATTGTAACCGTTACACCTAAAAACTCCAAGCTATCATAAAAACGAAATAACAGTTGAATAAAAAACAGTAGCCGATACTTTAGTGCGAGCAATCTCGAAGTTGTGTTAGCTATTACTAATTATTAAAGATTTCTAAAAATCAAGGTTTAACTATTTTATTCTTAATTTCAACTTGAGAAATATAAAACCGATCATTTTTTTCAGTATTTTTTAAAGTTTAACAATAAAAAACAACAATAATGAGTAATTACAGATAAAATAAATCACAACCATTGAACCAATTTTAAATATTATGATAAGATTTTGAGCTATATAAATGTAAATTAAGAAAGTCAGAAAATTCGAATACTTACTTGTTTGATATATAATAAATGGAAAAAAGGGCACTTTGCCTCCTTTGTAAACTATGTTTATCATATAAGCTTAAAAGAATGCAAAAATTTACATTCGTTATAAATATTATATAAATATGATGTTCTATGTCATTTAGGAGAAGGGAAGGAAGAGCTTTTTCAGCTCGTCAAGTATGCAAATCCCTAAGTACAGAAAAAGGGAAACAATTTTATTCGTGTTTTCACTAAGGTAAAGAAAAAAAAAATTCAAAGCCAAGATTAACCTGGCAACAAAATAAAACTTATTTTAAAAGCCCTGTGCTATTGCTTAAAAGCAAGAGAGCCTTCATAGACTCATAAAAAATCACTCAAAATTAAGGCTATTGAGAAAAAATCTTTGAAAGTTTAAGTCAGAATTAAGTTTCATTGAACCCTCTAGGTAGAGGAAAACGTTTTTAATAATTCATAGCCCAAAACGATGCATTTAAGGTAAAACATTTAACTTAATTTAAAATTAACTTTTTGAACTTTCGTATAAGTTAGTAAACAATGTTTACATTATTTAAAACTTTTTGAAAGACTAATTCAATTTTTTTTTTCCGTAGTTGGTACATCAGAAAATTTAGATATGCATAGCAAAGTCATTCTCGATGTGAGCTGTAGCTAAAAAACATTTAATTTAATATTATTGTCTAAATTTCATGCTCATAAATAATTGTTTTTGTATTCCATGTTTTGTCTTTCACAGGTAAAAAAAAAAAAATATGTAGTTGCACCAATTTTTTAACTGACTTATTAAATATTTATATCCTAGGAACCATATCCTAACCGAATTGACTTATTAAATATTTATATCCTAGGAACCATATCCTAACCGAATGTCATGCATTCCAATCTGTTAGGGATCAACATCTTTTCAGAAATAGCATTAAAAGAAACACTCCAAAAGGGCCCCAATGCTATTAAAAACTTAATATTGTTCCTTAAGGAAATCAAAATATTTCAAAAATTTTTATCACATCTTGTAATTGTAAATATACCTGTTAATTTTTCCTCTTTTAATCATGATTTTTAATTATAATGGTTTTTCAATTTTTCTTCTTGTAATTTTTAATATTTAAATTATAATTTTTAACTTTTCTTCCTTTAATATGAATTTTATTTCTTAAACAGTATTTTTAGATTATATTCCAAAATCATTAACCTTTTGTTTAAATGTCCTTGTTAACTGTTAACATATCTTTTTCTAATCTTTAATATTTAATTTTAATGGTTCTTATACTTTTTAATATTTGAACTGTACTCTTTAATTTCGCTTCTATTAATATTAATTTTCATCATTTAAAAATGTTTTTTTTTAGCTTTTGTTCTTAAAATCATTAACCTTTATTTTTATTGTCCTTGTTAACTTATCTTCTTTTAAATCTTTAACTTTCAATTTATAAATTTAATTCAATTGTACTATCATATTAATATGTAACTATTCTAAACTTTAATTTGTTTTTTTTAGCTGTAGTTTTGTTATGTGTGTAGTAATTGATACAATTGTAATGTAGGGCGAAAATGACCCAGGTGGTTAAAGAGCCAAAAAAAAAAAAAAAAAAAACCTGTACCACTACAACCCAAGAAGGGTCTTGGGTTCAGTATTATTTAGGGAAAGCACTGTTTCTAGGTCAACGGTTGTGCAAGGTTTGTGGTGCAAGATTTGACCGAGATCACGCTCAACCGCCAGTTTTTACCCTTAACCAATTATTTAATTTAATTAAGGGTACCCACTTTATAGAGGCTGGGTGTGCCCCAGGAGTGTCTCCTGGCCCAGGGTCGCCCCACGGC